GAGGGAGGGAAGGGTCCCTCGCCCAGAGGGAGGGAAGGGTCCCTCACACAGGGCGGGAAAGGGAAGGATCCCTCAGAGACGGGGAACGGAGGTGGCGGCGGCGGCGCTGCCACAGGCGCTGCCCCTCATCGTACTCCCCGCTGCCCCCTCCCTCCCTGCAGCCCGGCCCGGCCCCGGCACCCACCGCCGAGCCAGTTGGAGAAGATGTTCTGCAGCATGGTGAAGGGGACGCAGAAGAAGGCGATGAGAAGGTCACTGAGCGCCAGGGAGCAGATGAAGATGTTGGTGACGGTCCTCATGGCTTTGCTGCGGGTCACCACGTAGAGTACCAGGCAGTTACCGAAGAGCGCCAGGGCGAAGATGAGGACGCAGATCAGGACGAAGGCCACCTTAGTGCGCCCCGGCAGCTCCGGGATGTACACCAGCGGCTGCAGCCCGTAGAGAGCTATGAACTGCTCCCGCGTCACGTTGTTGTCCCGCAGGAGCTGCGCGAACTGCTCCGGGGTGATGTTCAGGGACCGCATGGTGCCCGTTCAGGGACCGACACCTCCCCGCAATAGTCTCAGCGCCGCCGCCCGCGTCCCGCCATGGCCGGACCACCGCCTCACGGGCGCTCGGCCGGRCCGGACCCCGCGGCGCTGAAGGAGAGAGCGCGCAGAAGAACCGGGAATAGCCGCGGGCGGCGGCGGCTCCGCCCGGACACAAACTTGGAGCGGCGGCGCCGCTCGCGGGCACGGCGGGCATGGGGGGCGGCAGCCAATCAGCGCCGGGCGCGCGCCCGTTCCGGCCCCTCGCGCCGTGGAGCGGGACGGGCGCGAGGCGTGGAAGGGGCGCGCGGGGTCCCCCTCAGATCGCTGCCCCTCACAGCGCTGGGACCCCTTTCATTGCCCGGGGACTCCCTCAGAGCGCTGGGACCCCTTCATTGCGTTGGGATCCCCTCACAGCGCTGTGACCCCTTTCATTGCGCTGCGACTCTGGGACTTGCTCACAACTGTCCCTCACAGCGCTGGGACCCCTCACAGCTGCCCCCCTCACAGGTCCTCATACACCCCTCATTGTGCTGCGCACGCCCCCTCCCACCGGCCCCCACTCCCCACTTTCCCCCCCACCCCCCCCCCCCCCCCCCCCCCCCCCCCCCCCCCCCCCCCCCCCCCCCCAGCCCCTCACAATGCTGCTTCACAGCACTGCCCCGCACTCACAGGTGTTTCCCCAGCGCAGCTCCCAAATGCCCGAGGCGGGAGCTGAAACTACCAACCCAAGCTCTCCTCACGTTCGGATCAGGCTGAGGGGAAGAGAAAGASATGGTGCTGTGAGTACATGGATGCTGCCTGAGGGGAGGCTCATGGCACCCACAGCAGGTCAGGCTGCTGCTGGTCCATGCCCAGCCCAAACACGGCAGCGCAGGGATTCTATCTGCCACACCCCCCCAGCCCCCTTTGTGCCAATGCCACTCACTACAGGCCCTCCCTAAAGCTCAAAAGGGAAAAGTGATTTTCCAAACCTTGGCCACTGAACTCACCGAGATGCCAGGAGGCTCCTGAAGACRCATTTCCCAGAAGTACAACCACTCATGCCAGAGGAGACATGACAGAATCCCATCCCACACAACGTGGCTGGCAAGGCTACTCAGGTAAAGTCATGTAGGCTACTAAGATGCATTCAGCTAACCGGCTGCAAAATAATGCCAATGCAGTTTAAATATGAATAATAATGACAGTTCAGGTYTAACAGAGGGGTGAAGTTGAAAATATGTGTTGATTTCTCTTCCAGCCTGATTTAAATTGCCCGGTACAGCTTTCTCACTAGCACAGTAATATTCTCTTTGTACTGTGCAATAATATATTGAATAGCAACAACTTGCTTTAATCAGTCACATAAGAAATACCAAAAAGGATCCAGAGAAGACAATAACAATATAGAAACCTGTTCTGGCAATSCTTCTCACCCCCACAGAGATAAATGTTTCATAGGGAAACCTCATCACCAGGGAGAATGCTGCAAAATTAGATTTTGCATAGAATGGATGCTCCGTGCCTGGGGTACGTAACTTTACCTGTACAAGGGAAGTCTAGAAAAGGATAAAGAAAAGTCTAGCAAAGGTTCTCTATTTTTAGAGTTTCTGGCTTGCCAAGGAAAGTCAGAGAAGGAAGAGTTCACCACCAGGTTATTTCCAGCAAAATAAATATGCTCAGCGAGACAAAAGGTATTTTGTGTCTTTTTTGAAAAAAATATTTCTGTTAAGAGRAAATCAATGGAGAGAAGTTCCAGCACCTGCACTAACCTGCACAGGTTCAGACCTCTAMATGCTGAGAACCCTCTCTTAAGATGTAGTTCCGTGGCAAAGACTGTCTTTATTATCCTATGGTGAAAGAAGATAKCACTTTTCTTTGGTGCAGTATTGCTATGTGTTTTCCACTTGAGACCAATGTCATCAAGCTCCTCTCTGACAGGCTTTCTAAGCCTTGTTCTGGAAGGCAAATTCTCATTAGACTAACTTAAATCCTCACAGCCCCTTTCGAATTATCTTAGGCCTGCCTTGTTGGCTAGAAAAGCTTGGTCTTTTAGTCCCATAATGATCCTGCTGAGCTTATGCTCCATATCTCATAGACAGATTTCTTTTGAGGTCAATTTTCCCAGCACCTTTCCTTGGACTATCTATTAACTACACCAGGAATAGCCTTAAGCCACCTTCATGTACTATGTTCATAGATCTTTTCCTGTACCTTTTCCCTCTTCCCTCTCCACTTTGTGCTGGTAACAGAAACSTCATTTAGGAGCTCTTCTATTAACAAACAAGCCAGATGCATTTCAGTAGATCTCATTCTTATTATAGATAAAGGGCCAAACCTGGAGGCTGGTCTGCCATTGTGGACTGCAGYGTTGTGTTGTTYGTTGTAAAAAGCATCCAAGTGTATYAGGAACAAATAAATGGGAATGAGCTCACACCTAAACACTGCAAATATAGTCTGGGTTTATGGTTAGCATGGACATTTGTTTTTTCATATGTCCTTATTTTATTACTACAATTGCTCATTACTAGTAATCAAACAGCATTAAAAATGAACAACATCTGAATGGCTATTCTACATAATATAAACAAATCTTGAAGCTGCAGGCTATGGAAGTKTGCCACTGCATCTAGTGCAGATTTAGCTGGGATTTTGCATGCAAAGAAAGGCACAATGGAGGTAATTTTACAGGTAAGTTTTCTTGTTTATACTTACCAACATGGAGAAAATCAATGTAGGATTTACAGAAACTTTCATTTTCTGTGAGCATTATCCATCCTCTTAGCTGAAACAACAAGAGCAGGGATGTCAAACAGGTTGTAGGGCAAATCACTAGTAACTGTATTGCCCAGCTCCTTGACCTGAATGAAATTGTATTTGGAGTAAAAAGGGTTGAATTACAGAAGATGACCTCACCTCAAACCTGCTGAAATTACTGAAATGACTTCTCTGCTTCCCTGGGCTACAAATAATTGCCAGGTAGTGAAAAATGTTTACTTTTCAGGGCAGCCCTTCATGTTCTGCCTTATACTCCAACCCACAGCTGCTCCAGCAATCACAAAGTAAAGCCATGTGGGGCTGCCCTGATTCTCCCCACTGTCACCCAGCTCATCAATGAAATGACCAGCCATGTAAACATGTTTTACTGGAACTGGAAAGAGAGGATGTGCTCCTAACCAAAAAGGTATCAAACTACCTTGCCAAACCAAAGAGATTACTTTTCTTTCATTGACATTGTTACTTCAAAGATTTGAGCAACTTCCCTGCAGCCTTGCTCACCAAAATACATACATACACACACTTTTCTTTGTCCTATATGACTGTTTTCAGTATTAATGATGATTTYTCTTAATTCTTATCATCAACTTCCAAATGCACTTCAGGCTCCTTTGAAGTTCTGATGKTTTTGCATCAACAGGACATGGGTCATGCCCTTACAGAATCTTTGCAATAACCAATTAATCTTTGCTCTAAATTTTGAGAAGCTGTACTGCGTAGTGAAAAAAAAGGGCTATCAGTAGCCTGTACATGGCTTTATAATAATAAATTACAAGGCCCTTTTTTGTTCCTTTGACAATTATTTATGAAACGGATGCATTTACAAATATAAAGCAGGGTTTGAAAAAAACCCAAATATTCTAGTAAATAACTGATTATATGAAAACCACGCATTTCTCATTATTCTCAACTGAAAAAAATTAAGCCTCCTACTAATTAAGTGGCTAGAAATATTTTACTTCTGTATCTAGAATCCCAGTGGAAAAAAATTGCAATTTGAACACAGATCAAATCTTAAGTAATTCTTGGCTTGAGAAGTATTGAATTGTATATTCTGTGGTCACAAACTGACAAGACTGATAAGCACGAAAAGTTGTGAAATATATGTTGTACCAGACTGTTGCACTCTGACAAAACCACTCATTTCTTCCTCCCACCATATGCTATTTTTTTTGCCTATGTGATTTATACATATGACACTTCCCTCTTGTTCAAAAGAGACAGTGAATTTTCTGCAGACTGAAAAATCCTTTTAGTCAGTTTATAACCTTTCCTCTTACAAAGAGGAAAAAAGCTGTAATTGCACTGTTTTCTTTTTTATAGCATGYAAAAAGATCCACGTCTGGCAGCTGTGAAAAAAGGGGTGACAACAAACTACGTGCATTCACAGTTTTTCKTAAGTTTTGACAACTGAGCATGAAGTTCGCAAAAACTGTGAACAGCACACATTTGGAACACTGACAAAGCACATACTTACTGTAATCCTAAAACAGAGATTTTAAAACCTATTTTTTTCTTTCCAAATCTCTACTCATACWGTCTAGTTCAGGCAAAAGAGATGGCAAAACTACTAACAAAAGAATCACTTTCCTCCTCCTCTTTCAGTCCCTCAACATGACAAAAGACTGTGGAAGAGATAATTCAGATCCACGTTATCAACTTTTAAACAGCCACTGCAATTAATGATTAGTAAACCTTATTAGCCTTGGATCCTTTGGTAGATATGTTGGGGATGAACTACCCTCTAATCCAGATCAGTACAAATTTTGGGATGATTCTTTRAAGCAATGGAAAAGTTTATCATTATCATTAGGTAATTTTAGCTTAAGTCAGAAATAACGTGGCTTTAAAATTGTCAAAGCAGCCTCTGAGACAAGGATCAGAACATGTTTGGAGAGAGCAGTGAGGCTAAAACTTCAACTGCAGACTTACAYGCTTTTATACACTTAGACAAACAAAGCATAACTTATCTTGGAAAAGGGAAAACTAGACACTAATTGAGCCAGAATCTTACTTAGTATCTAAGGATACAGCTCAAAGTTGGTCTTACCAGTGTRTACTTCTTTTTGGCTTTTATCTCATCTTCATGCATGCTTTACTTTCYATCACTTGTGAAGACAGGCAGCTTCCCCAAAACAGTATTTATGAAGAGAATTCTCAATCCCTAAAACACACAGTTGCAAAGTATGTTGGAGTGGCTGAACAGAAAATGAATTACGTTAACTTAGCACATTGGCTTAACTCCAAAACACTTTGTCTCCGACGGTGTGGCTCTGCTGATAAACACTGCTGCCTGGTAATCTTTATTCTTGTGAAGCCTTGTGTCTCTACACCTCTAGATTTAGTGATCCCCGC